TACATTTTCTGTGTGTCGAAGTTTCCCTAGTGGTTAAACGATGTGGAGTTGATAGGCACGCGCCCAATCCTTTCTCTGTGCTAGGGTTTAGGACTGGCTAGAAAACTAGCAAGCTGGCTAACTAGGATAGGTTGAAACCCAAATACGATGGACAATATAAGTCCTAGACTCAAGAGCCCGTGAAGAATGTGTTAATTTCGACGGTCGAAAACTGGCCTACTTGGAAGGCAATAGTATAAATCTGCATAAAGTCTTTCCTAATAAGTTACAGGTAGTCCATGAAGAAACAATCATCACTGTGAAGACAACAGAATCCTCTAACGAGACAGATGGAAAGTGAGATTGCCCACGACGCTTTAATACATGCACCACAGAATAATTCGGACCTGCCTCACCAATTTTAAAAATCAAAAAATCTCCACTGTATAAGGCACATTTTAAATGCTGAGAAATTGTTGTTTGCTGTGTCGTATATCACAAATTGAATATACCTTTTTTGTGGCTGTAAATGGTTGATCAACTGCTAAAAAATTTTTAGATTTTGTACTCTTTTTTGATATTGATTGAATGTTTCTTAATTCAGCCATCATATTTGTCAAATTACTCTAGACAATATTTTCAGCATTCTTGTTTTCCTTTCCTGATACGACGAACACTGTGCACGGAATTAGCAACGAAATGTTGTACATATACTTCACTAGGACATGTAGACGGCCAGTATTAGTAATAAAATATTCTAAATTACGTGTACATGAAGGACGCAAGTTTATTGCCATCGTCAATATGGTGAATAATATGTACATGTTATAAGTATTTTAACTATAATTCAATTACACAAGATATATATACATCTTTAGGACGTGGTAACCGAATAATACAATAAAAACACTTTGCATAGGTAGAAGCGATCTACACGGTATAATTATTGTTATTGTTTAAATTTGACGAAATCCTAGCAACATTTGAAGTTTGCATCACAGACCGCAGATATGTTTGGCTATCCATAAAATGGTGAAGTTGGCCTGTAAAAGTTTAGTAAATTAATGGATAATAACGTCTACACGAAGATTATCTGCAAGCAGCCCACTAAACCAGACACTGCAGTAAAACTTATAAAGTAGTTTTGTTTCTTTCATGCGCAGTTGGGAACTAGATTTATGTTGATATTATAGATGCGAAACAACAAATTGATCAAACAGTCGCTGAAAATTACCATAACATGACTCAATGAGATTTGAAATGCATCCGTCAGTATATCTTCATTACCTGTTAAATGTTCAGAATTCTTGGCACTCCAAAGGACTTTTCAGGATATTTCCACACAGATGTATAATTAGATATGTGCCGCGGCTCATTAGTTGTTGAGATTCAGTTGGTTACTCTGCAATGTCGATATATTTCGCGAAATATAGTTCTGATGTTGGGATGCACATATACATTTCAGATTCATCTTTTCGTGGAATTCTATCACCAGTGAGTATTCACTTAATATTTAAAAGCTTTAATTATACGAGTTGTTCCAACGGGTATTGTGGATTTATATACTCCCGCATCATTCAGGAGACAAACGGCGCAATCTTTTAGGAAAGGTGCGGTCTTCAGGCTCATATACCAAATGATTTTACTATTTCTGAAGCTCATATGGGAACCGACACTATTGTTGTATAGGGGGTCAGAGAAATTTTCTCATATTAACCGAACCTCAGCCATCTCACCATCAGCGATCAATATGTTTATCAGTACGGATCCAAATACATGGTTTTCATTATAAATTTTAAGGGACAAGAGATCGGAGGAGGTACTGACGCGTGACTGTTTGCCCCAATTACCCGTTCTTATCATCACTAATAGACACGCTTTGGACAGCCTTGATAGATGTATTCTTCCTTCTCTTCCAATAGTGGAGTTAAGAACAGGCTAAAACATCGGAAGGCAGTCTGGATAGCACTCAGCTCCAGCAGTGCAAATGGCCACACAACAGTCATGAGTGGTATTTCTAATTAGGGCCAATCAGAAACGAGAACGAACTTCCTCAAGTGGTGTAAGTGACTTGTTTCCTAAAATAGGTGAACCCAACATAATATATGGTGACTCAGCCTCTTCTTGCTTTATACCATTATAAAATACTTGCCGTTTTACATTGTTGTGTTTCCTGCTACTAACTGAAACTCAGTAAGAGATCTAGTGGGCCAGCCAAAACTTTCGTCTTCGCTGCTGCTTAATTTCACAGACTACAATATCCTGAAACTATTTTACTAAATCACTTGGATGAAAGCATTCAAGCTGACAGTAACAAAATGCTTCTGAATGATAAATGCGTTTGCAGAACAGGAAGCATCCCAGGAGAGTTCCGATTCATTTCGATCTATTTGCATCAAGTTTTGTATTATGGAACCGTCGTGACGTTCAGCAAAAGGTTCGGTTTCAATAGGCATTTACATTTAATACCGCATAAATTTAGTAAGTTTTATGGCACATTACGTTGAGCTCAGTCTTAAAAAACTTATTTTTGCGCATACTGAGCTACTCCTCTGAATCGTTTGCGAAGTCCGTCTCTGTGTCATAAAGTATCGTTACAAGGGAGAACATTGTGCCTGCTCGCGGCAATACCGTCAGTAGTTTGTCCCGAATATGAACATATCCAATCAAATGAAACTTTTGCCTGATTGTTGCCTAACATTGTTTGATAACAGTTATACCTTTGATGTGTCTCAGTTTTTAACAGTTGTCATCTGAACATCGAGTGCCACCAGTAGATGCAAAATATGTGTGGTTCTGAAGCTTATAGAAATACACCAGTACTTCAACACCTGGGATTTCCCATCTAGTAGAGTAGTTGGTGGTGTTTTTGGTACCGAATAATTCTAGCGTGGAGCATCCCTGTACTCCTCCTAATCTTAGTTTATCTTCTATGCGTACGCCATAAATATGAATGGCCAGTAGTCAATGAGTGGACACACAAAGCTTGTAAAAAAGAATTCTGAGTAGCAGGCTAGTAGGCCTGCATGATTTTGACATTTGTCTCGATGTGTTCTGAAAATACTGTATCATGTGAGTATTTAAGTCCTGTGTCTGTCACAGATTTCAGTCTGAGGAGTGCGTCGCCTTGAATTACTACGTCTAGTTATGGACTGGAATTGCCCATGTAGCGCCAGCCACATTTTCTGACACCAAAATTCATCGTCCAAGTGACGCGCCACCAATCCATAATTACCGATTCTTCTTGTACAGAGTCTACAGTTGTACATGCAAGTATAGGTCACTTTTAAATCATCTGCACGTATTATTGACTTGCCTATACCAAAACATTCACATATACCCTCATATATATTATGTGGAGGGGCGCCCTAACTGACCTCGAACAACACCACTCCTTAGTGGCCTAGATTTGCGGGTCGTCAAGCCAAATATTTAGCCTGATTTCTATTACAGCAAAATACCTTTTCTATTCTGGAGAAGGTTGCGAATCCCTAATGAGCATAGTCTGCTGTTAATAAAAATTATCTGTATCCAAGTGGAGCATTATCTTTCGTTGATGAATCCGTGCCTTAATGGGCTGATGGGTTTAGGTTTTAGAACATAGTCTGACACTTCGACTGTATCCATGATTCATGACACAAACGGTGTTATGTTGATAGGCCTTCAGCTGCACGCTGTATTTTTGGCTACTGTTTTATAATTAGGTGACATTTATATGTTTTTTATATTTCAATGTAGATTCCAGTTTCTAGGGAAATAGTAAATGCTCCCACAAGACTATTTTATCCTTGCAACCTCTTTTGTATATGATAAATGGTATATGGTCTGCACCACAGCCACCTTTGGCTTTTAATATCTTAACTGCTAACACAGTATTTTCTATAGTGAATATGATGTCACCTTACTTGTAGTTAATTTCCCAGGTTTTGTAGAGAGCTTTAAACGGACACGTTTTTGTGTCATTTAAAAACACTGATATTCTGAGGATCATTGTGAGTTGTACCTCCATGTTCCGGGCTGCTAACATTGTGTTCATTACTGTTTTTAGACGTTTCTACGAAACCCTGAGTATTGGAGATGCGTCCAAGAGCCTTATTGCTTCAAGTTCTGTAACCCTTTTATATCTTCCCTGAAGCTGTTTCCTCTCCATGTATTTAGTGTAATGCGTTAAACTCTATAAATACTTACAGTTTTCATGTTGGCTTCCACAGTTTTAATCACGTTTTGTAGACTGCGGATAGAGTTGGTGTCTTCAGAGCAGTTTTCATGGGCGCTATCGAGTCTCATGCCTAATAGATCGTCATGTAGGAGATATTAGGTATTGCTTCGAGGCTATGATGTTGTAATCACCGTTATAGAGTGAAGTACATGTTTATTTCCACCACTGTCAACTTAATTCATTCATTGGGAAATTTTCCAGTTTTCTTCGGAAACTGAAATAACTGAGATAACAATATGTGACCAGGTTTCTCCAGTAAATGGTAACCAAGAAAGCAAAAATAGATGCACAAATATACATACTACTGGTTGACTGGTATGTGTCGTACTCCACTTACATCAACCAGTAGTGACTGATGGCCAGAACGAAATGACCATAATACCAAACGGCTACCTTGATAGTTTTTTGCCTGGGTTATCTGATGTATACTCGGTTTGGCTCAGATGAGCTATTTATACAGTACCGTTGTTTAGCCGGGGCACTCGCATTTCCCACTGAATAACGTTCTTAATTTGATGCACTTACAGAAAAATTGGTTATATAAAATCAGCATTTTCATTCAAACTGTTATGTGCAAAAGCTGGAGATAATGAATAAGAATCCCAGATGAAATATGTGCTATAACCGTACAGAAGAAGGATTTAAAAAAAGGGGCCAATCATAACAAAAAATAGTTGGATCTTGGCACTTATTTACGATTTTCACAGATTTCTCGTAAATACTGACTCAGTTCATTACAAAAAGAAGAAATTTATTTCCGTGTATTTTAAAATGAATTTGTTTAGTTGAATCAAATGACTAAGGTTGTTTGGTGCGAATTAGTTGACTGTTAGAAAATGCGTAGGAGTTATCGTTGAAAATGAACCGGGATACATCAAATAGTCGTGAGTTAATGAATAAAATGCGATCTTTTTTGCCTCTGGCTATTTAATATCTGTGATATATTTTAACTTTTCGGATCCAAGCGTTGTTCATCTAAGAACAAGCTAGAAATCATAGTGGCAATTTCTGTTTGTTTAAGGGAGAGTTTCCAAGCAATCCCTCATTTTGTTTCGTCAAGATGCCATCGTATCAATGTATAAATGTAAAGTTCTTGCATGCTGAGTATTTCAATCCGTTGCATATTGCCTCTTGCTTCAAGTGTGAGTTATGGACGCTGTGTTGCTATTTCGTAAGACTGAAAAATGCTCGAACCACTATATTGTGAACAAACCAAAATGTGAATATGGAGCAAGATACAAAATTTAAAGACTAGTTAATGTATGTATAAATTCGATTCACTTGTACTATATTTGACTTATAGGGTAATGAGGTTATTTAGAGGAAAAATTTAGCAACTGATGATGAAGATAATTTGCTGAGATTTGGAAAAGTAGCACTACTCACTCTCCAAAGACACTCTTTATGAAAGAAAGTTTTAGCAGTTTTAACATCAGTCGCCTATTTCAGAAGATTAAGGGTGTTTTCTTTACATACGACACAATGACTGTACGATGCACCGATTCGTCCTCCACGTTCTAGTGCGTTTGTTTGATATGACTGGAAAAATTTTAGACATTCAGGACTTTACAACATTTTGATGGTTTAAAGCACCGCCTTTATTCCCAAATAAGCAAAGTATGGCAGTGTTATCTGCCCAAGTTGACTTGGGTCGTGCATGACAACTTAGCATGTCAAACGGCGAGAAAATTTTGGCATATACCTTCGGCTCAAAATATCGAAAGTGAAAGTGACAAGATAACAATAAATGGAGGTTAATGACTGATAATTATGAATAACTATTAAATGCTGCACAATCTAGCAGTGTATTTGAGTAATATTTACTCACTTTGATACTAGCTGTCTGATAATTTAAACGGCTAATCTCGTATATTTCTTGCAGATTGCGTATAAAGATAATTTTCAGCTGTGACAAGTCAAATAGATCTGATTTCCCGGTCATAAACTACACTGAGGTAGAGACACTGCAAAAGTAAAGGCATATGTTGGTTAGCATTATGAATTCACTATCACTCATGTTTATTACTGCAGACTGACACAACATACAAAACGACTGAAGTGCAAATACGAATGAAAGCGTCACTGTGACGCTCCACTTTAATCCTCCAGAATAATTGCACTTATACAGAATCAAACCAAAAGCAATTGTCAAGAAGAATCAGGATTGGCAATTTAATCACTTTTATTAAGATGCATATTTCTTGCAGTTGTTACCGAATTAAGATATGTGCTTAGTCTAGTAGCCAAAGAAATTAGCCTTTCAAATAAAGACAGTGTGTATCTGGTTGCTTTTAGTCTAAGAAGTCACCTGAAAAGACACAGACAAGTTCCAGATTTTGCACTCTAGTATAGCTGTAAACTACTTATTACTAAAATTATTTTAAGCCACTAAAGTAGGAAATCTTTTACCCTCAGAAACGCCTTACATTTGTTCGGATTATATTATGTTACAAGAATGAAAGTTTGTCACATATTAATACTTAAGTCCTTATTCCGTACCTTATAAAGTTATTATTACTCCAGCTGTCCTATCATGAAACTTATTCTGTGTGCACTATAGTTACTAAAAGTTTAATGATACAAAATCTAGTGGAAAACAATTCTTTAAAATGAAAACGCCTTTTAAAAGTAAAAAGGATCCAATCTTCTCGGTGAATTAAAATTATCTCCTCAGCACAATTGAATTTCCTAAGCATGTGGTTAGTTAGAAAATCTTCACTTTAAGAAGAGTATTGTGAGACTGTTTTCTCCTAACCCCGAATAATTAACCTGTTTTGTCATCCATTATTCCTGAAACGCCTTCCGAAAGTTTGTATTAAAATATTCAGTGCTGGAGAGATCTATGGACATTTAAAAATAATTTCAGAATTTTGGATTGGTACCCATTAAATGCATACAAATTACTTTCCCTTCGTTTTGTTTGTACTAAAGTTTCAGAATGATAGTTGTACATCGAGGTTTGTGAAGGCCTTACTTTTTCATTCGTTTTTGGGACAGCTTTAGTTGTAAAGATGTTTCAATTGACTTTAGAAACCTTTGGTTAATGGTACGTTAGATTTTCACTGAGCATTCTTTAAAGGCTTTATCAAAAGCCAGTGAAATCTGCAATCGAACATACTGCATTTAACTCTGAAAACTTCTATATTTATTCAGTATTTTTCCTTTTAATATACGTTTTGTCACTTTGGCGAAAGTTTATTAAGAAAAAATATTCTCAAAAGTCTTTTCTAAGGAATGTTTGTACTATTACTCATAAAATGACCGTCATGGTTAACTGCTGAGTCGATTTGTAAGTCATAAAGACTTCATTTGTTTTAGTATTGGAAATACAGCCTAAAAATTGTCTTTTATTATGAGTTCACTACACACACTTTCCAAATCGTTTAGTGCCAACGGTAGCATAGATATGTACATGGGAGAAGGCGTCGTTGAAACGACGTAATTGACATAAGAAATCAAAAGCTGTTGGTTTATTATTTAAATAATTTTTGAGAAGGTATAGATCTTTACAAAATTAATCCCATTAGTCTTAAGTACTGGAAGATTAATCTACAATGAGTCTGAGGCTTAAGAAAAGTTCACTTTCTTTAATTCAATATTTATTTTCAAAGAATACATTAAATACTTAGTTTCTTAAATTTTAGTGTTGGAATTTGCGTTTGTGCGCCCACGAATAAGTTAGCGACAACAATATTCCTTTTAATATTTCGCAGGATATCTCTTTTTCAAGTATATATTTAGGCATGCGGAAAATTCTCAGGTGTTTTGTACTGAAATTTCTGCGAATTTCGCGTAGCAAGTTTGTTTACAAAATCACTTCTCTCTTATGCTAATTGTTAACGTGGAACACGATTCAGTTTTGAAAGCGTTAAGGTAACCGCCTGGAGAAACACAATGTGTATTATAAAGTTGTGACTGTCAACCAAAACCAAATACGTCAATGCGGTTTGTTTGGGTACCATAAGTATCAAAGTCACTGAGTGGGAAAGTTGACTGATTTGACCTGGGAACTATTCACAATATCTCAGAATCATTGATATTCCATTATTTTCTATGATTTTAAATTTTTATTTAATTCTGTCTCACTATTCTACTTCATCTGATAGACTTATAGCCATTTAGTGTAGGGTTTACAACATCTGTTCCCTTCACTTTTTCCGCAGTTTTAAAGAAGACACAACAACCAATAAATTTCGAGTGTCTGTATGTATCTACACATCTGTTTATGGAAACAGTAGTAGATAAAAGGATTATAAAAACATTGTACGTCTCTATAAAAGTAAGTTGATCAGTAAATCAGTAGTGCCACATAAAATGAAATTGTTAAATCTGAGTGGCCTAATTTAATCTGTGCTGCCCTAAAAATTACCACAATTTCGGTGAAAGAAAGGGATGAATAGGGAAACTTCAAGCGTGGTTAAGTAAAACTGGTGTTATCTAGCCAAAGAAAACTTGTTTTCCTCAAAACTATACCCACCTACCTAGCATACACCGCAATCGTGCTTGTAATAAACATTTCTCAAATGCAAACAGACATATCTTTTTTCTTAAAATTAAATAACATCGTTTCAGTTGATAAAATCAATGGTGACATCGGTGTCCCTGTGGTTGTCACTTTCTAGTTATTCGATTTTGTAAGCTCCATTTTAGATTCTGCATTTTGTTGAACACTCATAGCTGTTTGCGGTATAATTAAGTATTTATTTTTTATAAGCAATAATGGTTAAACTATCAATCAAACAATATTATCCTAATTTCTTACCATTAAGTTTGATGATCTATAAGTGAAAATACGACTGTCAGTGGTGAATTATAATAACCGTAGGATTAAAGCATTAATTGAAATATTTATTATTTTCACCCAAAATAAAACTTATTTTTAAGGCTGACTGATGCGTGAATTTGCATTGATTGATAACCATAGACTATAATAACGATTTTTTAACTACGGGGAATACTCACTCATCGTATCCGTAATGGTAATCGGACTATACATGTAATAACAGCAAATGAGGATTCAAGTCATTTTACTGACTACTCAAAAAAGTACTTTAATCAAGAGATGCGGGTATGTGTTCAACGTGAAAGTGTTGTTTTGGTTGTCAGTACAAATTACACAGCTTTACCGAGAAACATGATAAACTAGCATAAGCAAGACAAGCTTTCATTACTCTCAAGTCTCCGTGGATGTCAACAGCACTCAGCATCAAAAATAAGATCCGGATTTTCAACTGCAATGTGAAGTCAGTCAGTGCTACTATACGGATCAGAGACTTGCATTGCGCGTTATAAAGAGCATCTCAATCAAACTTCAGACCTTCATTTACAGTTGTCTTCGCCCAATACTCAAGATCAGATGGCCGGCCAGAAAAGGTCAGCAACAGGGAGGGATCTCTCGGAGCGAACAAACCAGGAGTCGATTGTGAAACAAATAGGCAGGAAGAAATGGAGATGGATTTGTCATACTCTGAGGAAACCATCAAGTGACATCACTAGACAAGCCATCGCTCGAGCGGAATCCGAAAGAGAAGCGGTGAGTTGGTCGTCAGTGCGAGGGTGACTTGGAGGAGTTCATGTGAAGAGGAGATGAAACCGTTTGGAAAGGCTTGGAGCGAGGTGAAAAAACTGGCAGAAAACCCAACGCAATGGAGATGCGCGGCCGAAGCCCTATGTTTTTCTACGAATTAAAGGATATAATAATAATAAATAATAATGTTGTCTTTAGTGGCTAATTGGAAGGTGCAAGTTCTAACTAAGGAGCTGAAGATGTCATATTTAATATTCACTATATCTAGACAGCTGTGTTTGCTAAGAGCACTACTTAATCTCATCAACAAAAAAGAGATAAATTTTGAATAGTGAGTTTAAAACCTGTTAAAAATTG